GAACTCGTTTATTATAAATGTCCTATGTACATTTATCATAAAATAGCAACTCATATATTCTCCTTTAAGGCTCTTTTTAAAGATGTTTTCGGGGTATCAAAATGACTGTGTGTATGAATGTATGTGTAATTATAGATACATATATGCATAAATGTTTTTTGCCGTACTTTTTCCTGATTTCTCATAAAGATAATGAAAAAATACAGACCCATGGGAATAATTAGGACAGTAGGAAAGGTAGGAAGAATAATGGTAAAGAATACTAATAGATTTCACATGGATTTCTTGCTGCAGATCTTTCTGCCTCTTGCCTGGGAATGTAAGCTAAAGCAAATGTCTACTGGTTGCAGCAACTGATCCCATGTACACATAGGAAGGGAAAACAAGTCTCTTTGCTGTGGCTTCCATCAAAATGGAGAACAAGCTTTCCCACTGAGACGCCAAAGGCATGGAGAAGAGTCCAGGAAGATGCAAAGTCACGCACACAAAAGAAATCCGAGTGGGACCGGTCTGAACATCTGATCAACACTGTAGAGAAAAGTATACAACTCTTCAAGATGACCAGAGCAAAATTCTGAGTGGGCAGAAAAATGCACAAAGATAGGTCTTAGAGTTCTATTTTTTTCTTCACTCCAGATGTTTTTTCACGTGCAGGGGGAGATGCACTAGTACAGCAGCCCTGGACGGTGGATGCTACCATCTAATCCTCGGGGGAGGAAAAGTGTCTCAATTTGATGGCTGCAGTTGGAAGGAAAATCTGAGCATAAGAACCCAGCCTTCCTTTCTCTTTTGTAAGTAAACCTGCCATTTTTCTCTGCTCCTCCACTTCTTAAGTTTTAAGGGGGTTGACTCCATTTATGGACAGGGTGGGGGGTGAGGATGGTCTGCATCCAATCCACTGCTGACAGTGACTGGGAGGGTAAATGTGCGTGATTCTAGGGTTCAGTATTGGGAAACTCACTTGCCTAGAGTTAAAACCACATTCTCCAATAAAGGCCCATATTCTTTCAAAGCTTTGAAAATGAGTTTTTCCCCAATCCATCTGGCAGCAAAACCTGAAGTGACCTGAGTCAGGTCACATGACCTTAACTGACATGAAGCTACTTGGAATATTTATAACTCCACTTAGAGCTCTACTGTCCTATACAATAGCCGGTAACCACATGGGCTTATTTAAATTTAAACCCATTAATATTAAATAAAATTAAAAATTCAGATTCTTAGTCATTCTAACTGCATTTCAAATGCTCAGTAACCATATGTGACTACTGCTACCATATCAGATAAAGACAGTTCCCGCATTACAGGAAGTTCTGTACAATTCTGACTTAGAATGAAATCATGTTTCCTTACAGACATATTCGTATTTGATATGGGGTGTTTCTCCAAACCTCACATAACATATTAAACATTATGTAAGCATTTTCCCCCAAAGTCTAAAAAAAAAAGAAAGAAAAAGAATTTCAAAATGACATCCAGAGGATCATAGGTAAAGGATTGTGAACCTACATTAGTTTATCATTAATAAAGGTGATATTGTGATCTTCCTTTTGCATTAAGACGGTTACCTTATTTTAAACTTTAAGAATCAAGGCAGAGAAGAGGTAGACCTTCCCTTCTCCACACTGTGGATGATTTAGGCTAATCACAGTGGAGGATTTCTTTTTTTTTTTTTTGCCTTTTTGTCTTTTTTCGTGTCCGGCAACGGGATCGCAACCCTCGGTGCCACGCCCGCACCTTGCTCAGCCAGTGAGCGGGAACCAGTCTGTATGTGGGATCCGAACCCTCTGCGGGAGCGCCACCGTGCTCCCAAGCGGCGCACTGTAGCAGTGCGCCACCGGGCCGGCCCACAGTGGAGGATTTCATATGCGTTTTAAAAATCATTGTTCCAAGATGGTATAAGTGCCATTCTAGCAGAAAGACAGCAGCTATATGATGGAAAACTTTGAGGATTAATACAGATGCCACAGATAGCATTTCTATGTTGAGTGGATTTCTAGTTCCCTTGGACTAGATGAAGTCCAAGGGCTACCCATTTAAGAGAATTTGGGGTAATTGCCTCCCCTGCCCAGGTCCTTCTCAGTGTCTTCCATGAGGGGGGACAGGTCAGATGCAGATATAATTTTGGACAGAAAGGAGCCCATTAAAATCCAGCACATTTTGAAATTTCCTTGAATGTCCCTCTTTGTGGCAGTGAAGTGGGTCAGGGCAGCCATGTTCCCTTCCAGCTATTCACACTCTTGAAGCCTGACAGCCAGAAGATGCTGGACAGCACTTTTCTGCCATATCCAGCTTATTCTCTTGTTCACATGGGTGTAAGATACTTCACAGAGATCTGGCAGGAGCCTAGAATGGCCAAAGAGTACCAAGAGAGGTGTTTTGAGTGTCCTGTAGGCTTCACCCTGTTTCACTCTGCTATATGAATTCAGGCAAGTAGTTTAATTTAGCTTAATATAGCCTCAGTGTTCTCAGCTGTAGAATAGAGAAAACACTCCCTGGTCCATCACCCTCAGAAGTTTGTTTGAGGATAGAAATCAAAATTAAAATATTGGATGAGCTAGTACATGGGAAAGCATTTCTTTTTTCCTTTCTAAAGACATGTATTATCTTCATTACTGAAAGGGACATTCCATACAAGCCTTTTAAAGCAATACCTATTAAAACAATAATCTAAGCAAGAGCCTTGCTGGATTCTCAAAGTATTGCTGAGTTCAACACAAACAGCTTTTATTTAAAACATAAATTGGATTCCCACTTGTAAAGAAAAGCATGAGATAATGTTCTTTGTCTTAATTTGACAGTGGAGAGGCTCTTCAGTATTGGCTAAGAATCTGAAATTGGATCGTACCAAAACACAACCATTTGCTTTCTAAATTACAACTATAAAGATCCCATGGTAAAGTGCTGTGTCTGATGGAGCATTTACCAAAATTTTAAGGCTTCATGTTCAGATCACTGAAAATGCCCATCTCTGTCTTTTTCATTCATTATGCCATCTGCTTTCCAGTTCAGATAAAATTTGAGGTCCTGACCCTATAGAAACTTCCCAAATTAGCTTCATATTTCTGGTCTATTGAGATCAGTATGGAAGCTGCCCAATTCAACCAGTGTCCAAAAGTCATGATCAGCCCCTCCCTCCTGTTTGCTTTCCTAGGATTAATGCATGCTGAAAGCTCTTATTTCAAAAAGCTAGGGAATTTGAAGAATCATTCAGATAGCCTTAAGAAAAATGACATTAATCTTGAATATTCATTTACTATTAAGCTGACTCAATATAAATTCATAATTCATTTTTATCCTAGAAATTGCAAATTTAAAGCAAGGAAAAATTAACTACTGATGATATTAACAAAATTTTCACTATATTTTAGAAGCAGCTTGTTTAAGGAAAAGAGGGTGATTTAGCTGGCCACACATCAGCAGATTTAAACACTTTTCATAAGAATTCTTTTAAGCTCAGGAGAACTGAAAATATCTAGACTAAACATTCCTAACATAATTCTCTCAAACATTTTAGAAATGTTTCAGCAATATTGTCTAAAACAACACCGAAAGACTCCCTTAAATACTTAAATGGCCTGCATATTCCCATGGTTTTTTAAAACCCAGATTTAGGTAAAAATCCTGGAAGACATATTTGATACAGATTGATTTTTGAAGAGTGTACTATATTTTCCTAAAAGCCTCCTGAATTAAGTTCTGTGAAAATGAGTTGCAAACTGATAAAAAGATAGTCATGCCCTCTCTCAAAAGTATATTGTCCTTCAATACCAATTAGTGAAAGTTACCAATTTGATTCTTTCCCTAATTCCCTTGTCATAATAGGAGCTTTACCTGAAACTTCTGCTGGTTTTTTTTTTTTTTTTTTTTTTGGAAACAGTTTTCTAGAAAGTTACTTTTGTTGGCCCTCTATAGATGTTTTTCACAAGCAACCAGAATGGTGGGTTTTCAAATGAGGATTCTATCCAATGATGGCTGGAATGTAAACTCTTTTTTCCTTTACCAAAGCTTGTTAGAGTGCAGAAAAAGTTATCTCTCAACTCTCTCACGTCTATTTCAGTCTCCCATAGACTCATCTTATGCCCAAACATTCGTTTTTCCTAGAAAAGAGCAATCCCTGAAGTTTTATCCTCCACCCATCCTCCCCACCCCTAAATTACTGGGAATAAAAGTTAACATTCAGGACTGAGAACTGAGTGATGAGCAAGGATTTGACCAGCCAGCGCTCAGCTGCTGTGACTGTGAATGCCAGGAATCAACAAGTTTTCATTGATCGCCTACCAGGTGCCCAGTCTTGAGCAGGACCATGACTGAGTAGGCCAGGTTCTAGACCCGGGAGATCAGGCCCGGGGACGCTGCTGAGGAGATGAGCTCATCCTGAGAGCTCCACCGAGAAGCCTGTCCCGGGACCCTCACAGCATGCGTCCCCTCGACCTCCGGGGGCCTTCGGTTCACAAGGGTCTGCTCGGTTCCCTCAGAGCAAAGGGTACATCGGACCCGCAAAAGGCGAGTCCTAAGGAACCCCTGCTCACCTCGCCTCGGCTGGAACAAGCGGTAAAGGAGGGAGCCCCCATTCAGGAACTCGCCACGGAGCCAAGAGCTAGAGGAGCTACGATTTGCGTTTGCGATCACCTCGGAGAAGATACCGCTAAAGGAAAGGGAAAGGGGGCAGTGAGGGTGGTGGCAGAATGGAGCTTCCAGAAGCGCTTGCTAACGCCTGGGGCCGAGCTAAGAAGAGCTCGACCCGGGACAGTGACCCTGAGGGGAGAATGGGTGTCCTAGGAGCAGTCTGCAGACAGAGCGGACGAGCGAGAGAAGCACGAAAAGTGATTCAAATTAAATTCCCACGCGCTCAGGGCTGCCACCACGGCTTTAGCTGGAGGAAGGGAGCGCAGGGGAGGCAGGACGCACTGAGCTGTGCGGCGGCCACACTCTCCGGCTCCCGCGGCGCGGACGGACCGAAGGACAGACGGATGAACAAACCCCAGCTAGGGACTCACCTTCAGGGTTGGCGCTGATGAAGACCCGGACGCTGCGACCGGCGGGCACGAGGTGAGAAGGCAGGGCCGTGAGGTTCCCGGAGAAAGCCGCCCTCCGGAGCGCGGAGTCCCGGGGACAGGGCAGCCTGGTGCCCGCGCCGGCCGGCCACATCGCCCTCCGGGAGGAACAGCCGCGGCCGCCACCTCCTCCTGCTCCTCGGCTTCCTGCTCGCGGCTCTGCGGAACGGTTCGGTCGATCCCCGCAGGCGGCGCGGCTCAGAGCCGCTCCGAGCCCGACGCGCCGCCAGCGAGCTCCGTGGCGCACACCAGCGGTC